TACCAATCTGTAAGGGCTCGTAATTAGTATAAATTAAATTAGGAGGAATGTACACAGTTCTTTGCTGTTTCATGAAGGAAATGAGGCATGATGGGCACTAAACACTTTGGAAATGATAACTGCCTAACCACTTCTGGTATTCTCCAAGAACTATATCAGACTCAAAGACTTTACACACTGCTTGAAATCCTAGAAAGTAAAAACACTGCTCTAAATAGACATCAATGTAAACACAGTCAAGATATGGTAGATAAAATTATTTATGTTCACAAAAATTAAACTTGAACAAAATTAGGGGTCTATATAAGAATAAAAAAGCTGGTCTAACATGGTGAATCACCCTAAGAATAAACTGTAACTGTAACATCAGTAAAGGTGGCTAAAAATAAAGCAAAACCACAAGATAGGATATTGAAGCAGATCACTCATTTTTTCATGGTCCATAGTCTCTGCTGATGTACTGCCAGCAAAATAATGCAGGTTAGTCTTAAGGAAATTCTGCTCTACTTTCTTGGATACAAAAATGTAAGCCTGCTAATGCTCAGTCTGTATTCAGGCTAGGAAAGGCTGAAATATCTTGCATCAAAGAGCTTTTGGTTTCAGAAAAGTAAGACACAAACTCCCATTGTATTTTGCCTCAATTTTTTATCTTAGAGTAGCCCTTAAGTTACTCAGTTCATCATATACTCTCTGGTTATGAAAAGGACAACCCTGCATCTATCCCTCTCCTGATTCTAAATCATCTGCTTCTTCTATGTCTGCTAGGATGACATGCCACTGCAGTTTGGAAGGCAGACTTCATAAAGAGGAGCCAGAACGGTTCTACAATTGTAAAATCCACAGACTTGGGCCAATCACAGTATAACTGAAAAGAAAATAAATGACTGAAAGTACAAATTCATTTTCATCCATTTATACTTATTTTCATTTCGCAATGTCATCTCTAACTCAGGGAAAACTTACTTTTTGCTACACTTACTGCTTTAAATACAATATAATATTAAACCGTTTAAATACAATACACTATTAAAAATCAGAATGGGCTACAGCAGATTCTGTAGCCTTCAGTGGTAGTCTAGTTCTAAATGATGGATCCTCCCCTAGCCTGGGTCTACTTGTGGGGAATTCAGAACCTGGAAGAACCTCACAACACCATTCTGAAGATCCAGAGGCTTGATTTACCACACAGTACAAAATGAAAGAAAGCAGACTCAACCAGCAGTACACATGAATGATTTCTGTCTCCACAATTACTGCAAGAATGACACCCATCACCACGTGCAGCTGTTTCTCTCCCCATTTCATCTCTATGTTTTGTACGTGATGAAGCACCAAAAATAAGTGTAGTGGTGCAAAGTGAATAAACACACAGATGCATTGAACCCACAACTCAAGGCATGCAGTCTTTTAAGTATCCATTGTGGAAGACAATTTCCTGGTATAGGTTTGGACTTGTGCTTTGAATGAACTGTTAGAAAAACAAAAAAATATCATAAGGAGGGATCTAATGCTCTAGCAACACTCTCATTCCATGTGCTACAGTCTGTTCACACAAACACCTCATGCTTCATATGCAGCATTGATCTGGATGGTATGCCATCCATTTCTGCAGGGCTGCCACCTCATACTTCACTGTAAGTCAGGAGAGAAAATAGTTTCTCAGAGGCTGTAATTTTTTGTCATATAAAAAAGACATCTTAGTCAATAAATTTCCACAATATCTGAAAGACTCATAATTAAAAAATGAATTCTAACATAACAGCTGTAAATTAAACAGGTAAATATGCAACACCAAAATAAAATATCTTCAACTTCAAATCTACAAATAGAAGAGATCAATGGACACTCCAGAACATACATGATATTAAAAAAAAACAGGCTAACTACTAAAAGGTTTCCTTAGAAGAGTATGAGCAAGTTTTACAATCTTTAAAATTTAATCCGATCTTGATAGACCATAGCCATTACTATTACTTTTGGATTAGATTTTAGTGATGCACATTAGAAAACAATGATCATCACGTGGCTTTTGCCATCTGTTATCACCAATAGAACACCCAGGGAAGTCTGAGGAAGTCAGCATCCAGTAAATAGCAAAAAAGAATCTGTGAATAGAATATCTTAAAAGGCTCCCATAAAAGAAGTGTTCCCAGGATTTTTTATTAAACCAGGCAAATACCTGTCACTTTTATTATTACTATTATCATTAAATATAATTGCACCTGAAAAAGTCAAGATGCTAAATATATATAAAATAAATTACATTAGTCTTTTTTCCTTCTCTTGTAATTTGCTTTATGGTCTGAGTAGTTGGGTTTTCAAAGTTTATTTTACTGTCACTTTAATCTGTTTTCATAGCTCTGCTTTTAAGATCTATTTATCCCACATTTCTATTAAAATTTTACCCATGCTGCCTTGTTTCTCTTGACAATTGAAAAGGGCCTAATGGGAGGTTTTGAAGAAAAGAAGATGGACAAAGGCTTTGATTATCACAGCACAAGCATGTGGTAGTTTTTAGACATTTACTAAAGATCTTGCTCTTATGAAAAGTTTGCATGCAATTTGCTAAGAGATCCTAAATGGTGTTGCATTTTAACTGTCATTTCAAGTTGCACCTTGAACTTCAGATCTCCTTTTTTTTCCAAAATAATCCTGATGTAAGCTCACTTCTATTTCTTTGAGCCATAAACCAGAGATAAAGTCTTACAGACATTCAAGAAGTCAATAACACTTTATAAGTTGCTCTTCAACTTTCCTATTGCATGTCACAGCATGAGTCTCAGACCACATTCTTTATTTGAACAGTTAGGTAGAGCCAGTTATATATATGATGATCAGTAATGCCATACCCAGAAGAGCACAGCAGCATGCCTTTGCTCCTCATGAATGACTGGCAAATCCTCCTAATCCATCCTGACCACAAAGGAACAAGAGAAATTAAAGCTGAACTAGTTCTATATTTACTGCTAGTGAACAGCTTCAAGGATAAAATTGGCCAAACTGCACAGAAAGCATTCAACAGAACTTTTAGCAATAATATCAATCACAATTACTAGTTTTTATTTAAATATCTGGAATAATCTGAAACTAGCAGCATGCCATATAGAGTAATTTGAAAAAACAATATTTAAAAGAAGCGGAAATTTTTTTATTATGTTATTTTCCAAAACTGATTGGAAAGAGAAAGCAATTATTTTCTTTTGTTATTTTTTTTTTAATGAATGCTTATGCCTCAGGTTTAATTTATTTGTTTCAGTCTAGTAAAAATATTTTTTATAATTAAAAAAAAATCAATCATTAAAATGTTCAATTCAAGGTAGGGAAAGGTTTGAGACCAAGATATAGAGAAAAAATATGTGTCTTCATCGTTAATGCTGAAAAGAGTCTTTGTGCAAGTATTTATCTTAGTGCAGAACTTAAATTTCTTTTGCTGGTACTTGTGACCATTTCTCTTTTTCCTTCCACTGACTGCTACAAAGAAGAGCCTGACTTTCATCTTTCTCATAACATCCCATTAGGCATTCAAGAGCAACATGATCCCATCTTAGATTTTTTCTACAACCTTAACAAATTCATATCTCTGAACCTCTCCTCACATGCAAGAACACTGTTTTCCAGTTAATTGATAGAATTTTATATGTTATAATGTAACACCTGAAGAATATACATTGCCTTGCTCAGACACATCAAGTCACATTTGCTTCGTTTGAGCCACAGAGTTCCAAGCAATTAGGCTCAGCACTGCTCACTTTCACAGTCTTCTGGGGTTCTTTATATTTTGTTTTTAAGAAAGGAAGGAAACCTGGCTTTATATGAAAAAAATGCCAGGATTTGATCTCATTTTCATTCCAGCACAAAACAAAATATTTGCATATATCACAAAAGAGAAAAACCAGAATGGGTGACATCTAATGTCTTGAGCCATATCTACCCCATTACAATGAACCTGAATTTTACAACAGGATTCAAAACAAAAAACATTGAAAATGCTGGCACTGAGCACCAGAACATTGTTTCTGGTTGTTTCAGAACCACCCTGCAATATATCCAGTGCTTCAACATGATTCTGAATATGGCAAACTCCAGCAGCAGACTGAGGCCCTTCGTCATTCACATTAGGTCTGTTTTGGCCCCTGGCATTCCTTCCTGTTTACTTATGTCTTCAAGGTTCCATGAAATGTCAACATATCCCCAGCTCATTCAAAATTTGCAAAGGGCCCAATTGCCCTTCCACTATGAATTAATGCATAATACATTGCAAGTAATCTGAACGTCAAGTAACATGAGCAGCCTCTACCTCTGGTAAACCTCTTGGCTATTTGCCAGATGAAAACAAAGCAGTCTCTTCTCCTCCCAAAGAATCACATAAAGTAACAAACGCTGAGTGTTTCCAGTCCTAGTATTCTCATTTTCTCAAGTAATTCAATATCCCAAAACCCACTTTGCTCAAGCTCTCACAAAACTCTCTTTTCTTGCAAAGCCATGTTGTGCTAACATAAAATTCTTATTCTTTTGAGCTACCCTGCTAAAGCAAGCATCAGCTTGAGGATCTGTTCAGTTCTCACTTAACTTTCTTTGTGAGAAAAAAACCAACAACCTATCATTCCCTTTTACTCTTTGCCTTCCAAGAATAGTAATACTTCACCAGAAATTCAGCAGTGTTCAGAACTGTGAATATGAATCAGTAGATTACCACTGATGCAAAATGTTTCTTCACTTTTTGAACAAATCCTACTATTGAATCACATAAGGCTTTTGAGTTTTGTTTGTCTCCTTCCTCCCCAAATACTTTTGGCATCAAGATTTAATTCTCTGTGCATCCCATTCAGCACAGTGAAAACCCTAAAGAACTACTACAGGCAGTTTACTCTGATGAGAATTGAAGACATAGAAAGTACAGAATATGACACACGGTATTTTAGAGTAACAGCTTTCTTCAAACACATATCCAGTTAAGAGAAACCCAGGTGTGGGAGAGGCATGGGCCTGTCTGTACTCACTATGTGCAGCTGCAGGAAATCACCCAGCCCAGGGGCACTGTCGATCCGGACGAGGATGCCATCCTTCACTGTTGTGCTGAAGCCCACAGCAAGACGGTCTGTCCTCGTGCTTGGTCTGTCATTAGCTGGCCAGGTGTACAGGATGAGACCTCCACTCTTCCCAAAGATATATGTGGCACCAGCTACAAGATACAAAACCAAAGAAAAGTGTATTAGTTAATTAGTTACTTATTTGCCAAGTCTGGTGGTAATCCTACGACTTCCAAGAGGAACAACTTAAGCAAGCACATGCTTTCATTAGTTATAGGAGTGAAACCAATGTGTCCTGCTGGCCAGGCCTGATGAAGTACATTATTAGTTCCTCAATAAAGCCATACAGCATTCAAGACAAAGCTAGGTGAAGAGTTTATCAAAAATAACCAAGATGGCTTATCAAGAATGAATGATTTCCTTAGTGCTAACACCCCAGACAAGGCTGGACAGGACACAGCTGTACAGGGGGAAAAAACACAAGCCACTCCCGCTTCAAAAGCATGGGATTCAATCTTATAAGACAATTCAAATGAAATATTTCTCATTTCTCCTTTAGGTTGGACTTGCCTTCAGCTAAAGTCTATTCACACATAGTAGGAGACTATACTTTTCTCAACACTTCATGAGATTTTTTGGTATCTAGTCCACGTATTTCCAGCACCATTTGTCTTGTCACAGCCTGGGAATTTGTTCCTTGCCCCTGTTTTTAAGGACAACACCAAACTTCTCCCATGCTGAACACTGTCCTCCCACATTCATGAGGGCCATCTGAGCTGAGGAAGGCAGAAATGCAAGTGAGGAATTATTATTGCCGATGAGGAAGTTGAGAAGCTGATGCCTTTGGAGTTCACATTCTGACTTGTACTCAACAGTCTGAGTTAGAAGCAAGATTTTATAACTCAGCAGTTATAAAACTGGCCCCCAAGCTTCTTTAAAAATATATATCTAAAATTCCTTTTCTGTCCAAATCTACAGGCAGGCCAGGAACAACACTCCTCCATGTTTCAGCCACTCACTGTATCTCATTTTTCTGAGCACTATTACAATGGTTACAGAATAGTAAGCAAAAATAACCAGCTTCTGTTACTGCAACAATGACAAAACATATGTAGAAAGTACAGGCAATTACTGGGTACATTTTCTAATCTGACTGAAACTACAACTGAGGGTTACAACACGGATCACACAACCCTGTACAGAGAAAAAGCAGATAGATACAGAAACAGGTAGGATCATAGCATGGTAATTTCTACACTTGCCTACAAAGCTGCAGCTTCACTAAAGCTCTCTATGACCTGAATTCCAAATAAATGCTACATATTAATAGAAATAATTGATACACTTCTCTCTTGCTAAAGAGGCTTCCTCTAGACATCTCAGAACATATTACAAAAACAGACATCAAAAACTCAGCCACCTAAACATGAACTTATTTGTGAGCAGCTGACTCAATGACAGAGTGATAATGAATCATGTTTCCTTCTTCCCTTCCAGGCCTATGCACATCCAATAGAACATGCCCTCAGTAAATTCAGACAAATGTGTCCAAAATCAGGGTCACATAGGAAATTTCAGTCATAATTCTGAACTACCAAGAAAGAATATTCTGGCATTCTGGAACTGTGAACATAAACTATTTCAGTTTGAGAAAGAATAATTTTACAGATTCAGTCTCCTCATTTAGCTTTAAACTCCAGACAGAGGGTGTATGACTATTATAGAATGTGTGGAAAGAGGTTTTGTCTGTTTGTTTGAACACATCCCCAGCTCTATCTGCAACCTTATGGCTAGACAGGTGGAGATGACCAGGTAGTGAATTAAAACCCACTTCCCAAAATGACTCACTTGAATTTCAAGTTCTCCTCCTTTCCTTTGTACTGGCATCAGGCCTTTCAGCAGCCAAGACAAGCTTGGAGGTGAGTTATTTACTCTTTATGAAGACAGATTACTTTTTTGCCTCTCTAAGAGTCATTTGGCTGCAGGTAGACCATATCAGTCCCCCAATGAGAGCCAATTAGAACCAATTACATCCTCACAGGCCTTTCATGGGACTTAACTACTTAACCAGATCTTATTTTCTCCTCACAGAGCATAGATTTTGCCTCTAAGCCTAACCTGACAATATTCAGTACTTTGGTACTATGGTACCAAGGTTCCTAAGGTAAAAATCAGAAACACTAAGAAATAACACAGTATAAATCTGCTTCTGTTGGGTCTTATTCCAGTTTTCTCTGAGATGGCTCTACATAATGCTTCATGAAGAAATGTAGTACTCTGGTTCAGCTGGGAATGTCAACTCAGTTCTGGAGTTCACCTGGTCCACAGGCTGTCCAATTTTACTTCAAATGTGTCAGGGGTTTACTGTGATGGATTTTGCAGTCATATATTCTGGCAAGACACTGAATTCTGGAAATAAAGATAATTCAGATGCAACAACCAGAGCAGCACTAGCCTAAACAGACCTGTAAGCAGAAGTCTGAGGGCCAGTAGTTTTTCCTTATTTTCCAAGTCAGAAAATATCTGCATAATGAGAGATGGGCCGCTTGCTTTATCTGTGTGTAGGTGAATGTACAAATTTGTTGGATATATAAATGCTCCTTCCTTTCACCAACTTTCTGAAGACAAATAGGATATCCATTGACATCTTTAGAAAGAGATGCACATTAACATTGTGCCAGTATATTTTCTTGCCCAAATTATGAACAAAATAATCATTCCAGTCTGAAAACATAAGGTTCATCAAGTAAAAGTGAAAGTATTACAAGAGTTAGTACCACATTGCAATCACATAAAGAGAAAAAATAACCAAAAAAACCCCAACCATGCAACACAAACACACTTGACTTAACTACTTTTATTTGACTGCAGCAACCATGAGTTTATAGGGTTTGAAAGTTCAAGACAATTGAAAAAGACAAAAAGAAAGCAAATTATAACCCTGGACTTCAGGAAAGGAGATTTCAGCTTAACCAGAACTTGACAAGACCTGGACAACTCTATTGGACTGGACTTGCTTTAAGCTGGTGTAAGCTGGCTAGACCAGTTTACCTCCAGCAGTCCCTCCTGACCTTAAATCAATAATTATCCTTTCTTTGTGGTGTTGCAGAGAATTGTAGAATAATTAACTAAAGCATTCTGGTTAAAAAAAAAATCTGGTGAAATGCACATCTCTTCATCTTGATATCTTCTTATATCTAAACTCTGTTAATAGTCCTCTTTATAAGACAAGAATTAATAGTTTTCTTCCAAGATACTTTCTATTCAAGACTGACAAGAGAGCACACTCTTAATGAGCAGCCACTTTATATTTAGTTTTTCCTCACTGTTAAAGGTTTAATTATGTAATTCTTGTAATAAATGCAACACCAACTGCATCCTAGCAATAGAAAAGTCTGAAGGACTGATTAATTTCTCTGTTTTACAATGTATTGTTCTTATGTTTCACCGCTTCAACTTTATAACACTAAATTCAACCCAAACCATGTAAAAAAAAAGAAGAATAATAAAATCAAGGACACAAGCACACAAAATTATTTACCCAGTCACTTTTGTGAGCAATCTCATTTCTCATAGTGCCCTAGGCCAGATTACTGTACCAACACATAAAAACAAAGGTAAGTATAATATTTTCAGGTACTCTACATGTTGCAGGCAGAATTTGGTCAGCACTGGGAGCTCAGAGAACTGAAGAAGTACATAGTGAGGAAACACTCCCTACAGATTTAAGCTACCAGGACACCATTACATGTTTAGCATATACAAAGCCTATAAACTCACAAAATTTAGTGCGGCAGACTGGCAGTTGACTTCTCCTAGAAATTACATAACTTGTAGCTTGTATCATTGGTGTTTAGAGATCAAAGATGGGTATGTTACAACACATACGACAATGCAGTTGGCATATCTAGTTTGGTAAATTATGCATTTGTTAGCTATATTCATGAATAGAGCTGTTAGATTATTCATCTTCAGTCTAAACAAAATAGTTTGAGGCAAAGACTCCTCATGGAAAACTTCTAACAGAAAATTCATAACTAAGATTATAAACCACAGCAAATAAAGGCTACAAGTGAGGTGCTTTAAGAAGTGTTTAGTTTAAGCTGGCACCATCACTTGTCATTTTAATTCATAATTGCCCAAAGACTTCAAAAACCTATTTTAAGAAGGAGTTTCTTCAATCAGCATAGTACAACTGCAGCAAAGTAAAATAGTAAAATAGTAAAGTAAAAGTAGAGTAGTAGAAAACAAGTCTATTGCATCTGCACAAATTGTAACTGCTACGGCCTGCACTCCTGTGAATTTCCCCACATGAAATAATTGATTGCAAATTCTCTATTTGCAGCTACTAAGCCATCAAAAGCCTGATTTTCTCAGCTACAGCACAGCACACACACTCATTTCCCCATGGCCAAGAAAATGTAACATTCGGAAGGTATTACAGTGTTTATACACTGAAGGGTTAACTGCAGCAACTCTACACTGGGAGGTGAATACAAGTTTAACATAGTGTAAATGCTACAGCTCATATTTTTACAGCCAAAAAGTACCTTTAAAATGCAAATTATGAAGAATCCAGGCCAATTCAAAAGCTGCAATACTTACTTGAGCACCTTTCAGAAATCTGCCCCAAGGGTGGATAATCATGAGTGGTATGGAATGTTGGAGGGCATGGGCTACTTTTTGAATGCCTTTTCTGCTTCAGGAATCCAGAAGCTCATGCCAGAACTTTTTCAACTATAGGACCCTAATAAAGTGACAGAATATTTGCAAAGAGAATGGCGTGGCACCTCCAGAGATAAGCGCTGGAGATATATCCTGTGCCTCACACTACTGCCTAGATGATCACCATGGCTCTTGAAAAGCAAGTCCTGCAGCAGCACAGCACCCTAGAAAGGATTGGGTCTGATAATGGAATTCATTTCAAAAATAACTTGGTAGACACCTGGGCCAGAGAGCACAGAATAGGCGCATCATACTCCCCACCCTGCACCAGCCTCTGGGAAAATGGAACAGTACAATGGACTGTTAAAAATCACATTGAAATCAGTGGGTGGTGGGACCTTCAAACATTTGGATCTACATTTAGTGAACGCCACCTGTTCAGTTAACACCTGAAGCTCTACCAGTTGAGGTGGCCGTGCATGATCAT